CATGGGTTCTTTGTTTCTCAAGAACTTCTTTGAGATTTCGAGTAAAAATATTACATGAAACAGGTATACAATAAACAAATACTTCGATTTTTCTATCTTTTAACAAATGTTCACCAAAAAATGGCAAAAATCACAAAATTCCGTTCTTAAGGTTCTTTATTCGAGTAAAACGTGTTTTCAGAAATTTCGTTAAACATGGGTTGAGTTGTTATCCCCCCTCTCTGTTGCGAACCTGAATTAACCCAATATTCAGGCTCCTCGTTCAGAGAGGGATAATTTATACTTTAGTTTTACTTTTTAAATTGGAGAAAGGTTCCTTTAGGGTTTTGTATAGCGGCTTACCTTCTTTATGCAATGGGTCATTCAAGCAATTAAAATTTGGATATTTAAAGTTATGTTTGTCAATTTCGTACTGTTTCAAAAATTCTAATTGAAACCCTTTTCTCTGACAGTGCAACAGCCTTATGCAATCGTCTTCTCTCAACTCGTGATTATTTTTTTTTAGGTGTCGTCCGAAGTTAGAATTGTCTTTAGTGAGATGTTCTTTGACTCTTTTTTCTAAGGCTCTTCCTGTTTCGCCTATGTAATATTCGTTGCAAGTGGAACATTTCAATTTGTAGACCCCGTTCTTTTGTAGTATGTTTGTATTCTTTTAGCGTTGAACAGTTTTATAGTGTTTTTGCTTGTAAAGGATGTTTCAATGTTGTATTTTTTAAATAGATTTTTGATTTTTCGGGAGAGTTAAAAAGATTAAAAGAGAAAGACCCATCCAAGCGATATATCTCTTTGAGTTTTCAAGACAATGAACACAAAAAGCTTTTTGCAAGTCCGTTTGGGTGGACTTCAAGCCTAAGCAGGCACTTGGAACTTCGCAGCTATAAGATGTTTGATTCGCTGGTGGTGCCCCATAACTGAATTCCGTATTCCCAAACTTAATAATTTACTTATTCTCTAGACTGAGTTGTGAGTTACTATTCAGAAACCACTTGGTTCTTTGGCAGTTGAAGCCGTTTGGTCCATATACAGTGAAACTAACTCGAATCACTAAGGGAGCGGAAGAAAACTTCGAGTTATGGAAAATTCGAGTTAGCGAAACACATTTTAAGCCTAGTCAAACTCTTGAGTTTACGAAAATTATTCGACTTAGAGGATAATTCGAGATATAGAAGTTCGAGTTAGGGGAATTTCACTGTATGTTTTTTCCAAGTCTGTTCTAACCACTCTTCCATCAATAGTAAATAACATTGCAGGTATTGAGACCCCACTTCAAGAGATGCATGAGTAGCTATAGCTACTATGTCGTCTGCATAAGCAGCAATTATGGCGTTTTTTTGTCGTCGGCAAATTGGTTTTGTATAAAAGGTATAAGGACGATTCCAAAATACTATCTTGAGACCCTCCAGCGTGTAGCAGTAGCAGAGTCGAATATGCGTCATTATATTTTACATAAAAATATCTCTCCGTGAGATATGATTCCAATAGTGTATATACAGTGTAAAATGTCAAAAGCCTGTGATGCGTCTAAGAAAGCAGCTGCATAATACTTTTTTTGGCTTTCAAAGTATCTCTAGCTGATCTGACTACTCTATGCACTTGTTCTATCATACCATGCTGTTTTCTAAATCCAAATTTGATAACTAGGGAGAATTAGTAATCTTTTATCTATTATTATGTTTTGAAGTCTCTTCAATAAGAGGTTTACAAATAGTTTTGAAAGCAATAATAGTAGATTTAGTGGACTAGTGGTAAGATGTCACGTCTCCGATATTTTGGTTTGGTTTTAACACCATGGTTATTTGGGATAACTTCCAATGTATTCACAAAATTTCAATTCTTAATATTGCTTTGGAGATTTGTAGTTGTTTAGTCCTTGCTCGGGAATATATTTAAGAACCGATCCGGTTATGAGTTCATAACCAGGCAATTACTTAGGTTTTAAGGAGGCAATGATTGTTTTAAGCTCAGACCAAGGATAATAGAATCTAACAGGACTGGTACATCCATTGTTATGACCAGAATATTGAGACTGGAGTGGGAGGCGTTTTAGGATCACTTTCCTAAACTGTCCGGGCTCTGGTTATGACAACCTGCCGGCAAATTACGTCACACCATTTTCCACGCCCAGCTCGATCGCGTATTGCATACCAATACTGTGATATTGGTTGCATACTTGCAATGATGAGGTCAGGTACGATAAGTAATTAACACACTGTATTTTTAGAGGTTATATCGTGGACGTATTCATCACAGTATTCATATTATTTTTGAAGTTTTATGTTTTTAGACGTATTAATGTCTATCATATAACCTCTGTCATCTATAACCCCGCGGGCAACCAACCCGTAGTGGGCTACAAAATATGGATGTAGCAGTCCTGTTAGATTCTACTGTCCTTGGCTCAGACAATTTAAATTTCTTTATTAGGGAGCAGTTTCATAAGAAACCTTCAGTGTAGTTTCAATTAATTTCTTGTGCTGGGGTAATTCTAGATGGGGTTGAAAGACATTTTATAGATGTTTCGCAAAGATATTTGCTCAAACTTTTTGAACAAGTTTTATATCATATTCATTTGACCGCCACAATCCTCTGTTCATTGTAGTTAGTAATAATAATTTCAAAAGGTTAATACAAAATTCCTTATGACATCAATTAAGTGTTCATAATTAGACAACATAATTACCATTATAAAAGTTTGCGTATCGTAAAATGGGGTGAAATTGTGCTTTCTATAGTGAGAATGTGCCACATGGTTTTTTTACATATCTTTGAATGTGGCGCCTCGGACATGATATTGTCAAATGTATCGGCTGTCAGATCTATGTTTCGATTTACTACGAAAGTAATGTTACTTCGGAACATTAAAAAACCGTGTGGCACATTCTCACCATAGGAGGCACAATTTCACTCCATTTTACGGTATTAACAATAAAATAAGTAGCATGTGCTACAGTTTACTCAGCATAATATCAGATGATATAAAGTTCAGGAGTGGTTATGTACAATTTACTCAGATACCAGTAGAACACGGTTCATCAGCAGTCGGTTAAGCAACGCCATTTTGATAAGCGGATCATTTGATTTATCATATGAGATCTGAGCATTCTCTCACAGGTGAAGGTTTGTAGTGATCCTCAATAGCCAGCCGTTCGAAAGTGGCGCGCAGGTACGGTTCGAAGGATATCTCTTTTTACACTTTCGAATCGTTGTGTTATCGCAAATCAATTTCTCCTAGATATGATAGTTAAGATCCTTGAACGTTTCCTACTAATAATTGAAAGGTTTTTAATTTCAATACAGGAAATGAGTACCATAGTCATGGCTACCACCAACATCTACCGCAAATCCAGCTTATGATATACAATTTAGTAAGAAAATGTACAATTAGTTGGATAGGTTACAGTTTCAGAAACGAAATTGGTACTCTCCTATAATAAGTATGGTGAAATTTTTGGACTTGATAAGTGCCCACGATTTAACAAATTTAGATATGTTGGAGATGAAGCTTGATAGCGACAAATCAACTTAACGAAAACACATTGATTTATGTTTTGCATCCCTTCTCATTAATTCGCCTCCACGATTTTTGGTGGTGTAAGGAAAATAATAAGTTACAGCGTATTAGTGTTTTAAAAAGTAGTGGAATGACATTTAGTTCTATAGATGCCTTAAATATTGAAACATTGTTTTATCTGGTTTTCTCGATCATTTTTGACATATAAGCATATTGCGAGATTGTCTATATTTGCAAATGTTGTTATCGCTGAAAGAATCCGTAGATTGTAGATACTTAGTTCACGATACTGGAGAAATAAAATGGTTCTATCTCTAAGTCCAAACGATTCTATAAATAAAGCGGTATTCCTAAATATCTTATGTAGACAGGAAAACGAGTTGAGATTCAAGTTCACAGATGCTACCAACCAGATGAAAAACTTTGAATCTCAATTTAAGCTTAATTCAACTTGAACAGAATTTATACTATCGCTGATAGGAAGATTGTGAAACAGATTTATTTGGAAAACCCATAATATATTGATATATCAGACGCAAAAGTTTCTACCTTATTCGTGAAGCAGTGTATACTCGTAGGATTCCTGATAAAATTAGTTGCACTATCATATTTAAAAAAATAATACATCTATTACTTTCTCATTAAGTACTACAAATGTATTACCACGACGTTTTCTACTCAGACTCAGAAAGTAATTTATATATCTCCTCTTTAATCCTGATTATCCCATTTTAAAATCCTTGACACTGATCATCGACATGACTCAGAATCCAAATATGAAGGATGTAGGTCAAGCGTGAATCTGTCATACTTTAACACTGGTATCCGCCAGACGATGTAATTACAGCGATTAGAAGAACATTACAACTGACACTTTTCCAAAAATTTTGAACAACTAGGTCGTAAAATTGTGCTTACTTTGTAGTTTTGTAACCAAACTAAAAAATGATTTTAACAGTTTAATAGTTCTTTTACGGTTTGGTACAGATATACTTAAGGAATTAGAAGGAATCAAGGGTATACCTTTGATCTGAATTAATAGGTCAACGATGTAAAACCTACTTGTAACATTTTCAAGTGCAATATAGTAACATAATGGGAATTGTTTTCTTTTACCTGTGTCTTTATTTAGCTGTTTAATTGCCTAGAATCCTCACACCCATTGTGCTTTCCGGTAAGATTCCTATCTTCATCAACTACTACGAACGTATTTTTAATAACTGATTAATGAAGTTTATTCTGTTTATTATTGTATTATTTATATCAGATAGTTTTTGTTGCAACTATGCTTCAATTTTCAATAAAATATTTTTTGCTAACTCATCCTGACATAAAGACCTACATCCGCAACGTTTCTTTTACACAAAAACCCCATTAAGAATGCTTCCTAAAATTTCTCCGCAAGTTTCCCCCTTTTTTTTAGTTCTTTTTAGTTTAACAACTAACGGTTTTATGTCGTGCTCACATAGAAATTCTTTTATTGTTTCAGTGTTGAATGTCGCTGCTGGAAAGGCGCCAATGCAAATTAGCACAGAGAACGGAGGAATCCCACAGAAAGCTATTGATGGAAGCACAAGTGCTTTCTTCAATGCGGAAACATGTACGTTAACAAAATCTGAACGAACTCCTTGGTGGTACGTGAACTTATTGGAACCTTACATGGTACAGTTGGTCAGACTTGATTTTGGAAAACCTTGTTGTGGTAAGTATTTTTTTTTTCTAAGTTTAATATACCACATGTAGAGATCATTATCCTTATACGAACTTGTTCAAATACCATTAACAGTTAGATAGTTCACCCGATTAAAAAACACAATCCCATTTTATATCATTAGAGATCATTGCGCGAAGACTTCCAGTCGAGCGTAACGTCTCCGTATAGCGCTTTAATTTCAACACGTGTGTACAGACTCTATGGAATTATTTAGTGTACTTAACAACTTCCTCAAGTTACCGACTCAAGGATGAAAATGATTGGAGCGTTCAAAACATTTTCTCTTTAATAAGTTTCTTTACTTCTATTTTTACTGCAATTTTCTCGGTGAAAGTAGGCATTAAATTGCGGCGTTAAAAAACAGAGCAAACGACTCTTACGGAACACCAGATGATTGGGATATGATAGTTCTATTTACTACAAGCTTTAACTTTTGCCTATATTTTAGTGAAAGTCTTATGCTCATTTCTTGGAGATCGTACATACATTTATCCGCATCATCATCGTAATTCAATGCCATATGTACTAACAGAAATGAAATGAAAACAGATCGTTAATGACGGTACGATCATTTAGCTGACTAATCTCCTATTAAATACCGATTTAATACCTTCTTATTGGTAGTTGTTAATTTATAACTCTAAATGTAGAATAAACACGAGAGAGTAAAAGTGAAAGTATATCAAAAATATTTATTGTCACAAACAAAAGTTTTACATCCACCCATGAACAAAACATAAAACACAAAGCGCTATCAATTTAAAATAATATCCATCTAATAACATTCACCTCCTTCTCCATCACATTCAACGGAATCCATACCAACTTCTTCAAAATCTTTTTCCAAAGCTGCCATATCTTCACGAGCTTCTGCAAATTCACCTTCTTCCATACCTTCCCCTACATACCAATGAACAAAAGCTCGTTTAGCATACATCAAGTCGAATTTATGATCTAAACGAGCCCAAGCTTCAGCGATAGCTGTGGTATTAGACAACATGCACACCGCACGTTGAACTTTAGCTAAATCACCACCTGGAACAACCGTTGGTGGTTGGTAATTTATACCAACTTTAAATCCAGTAGGACACCAATCAACAAATTGAATTGCTCTTTTGGTTTTAATGCAACCAATAGCAGCATTAACATCTTTAGGAACCACGTCTCCACGGTACAGCATGCAACATGCCATATATTTTCCACGTCGTGGATCGCATTTTACCATTTGATTAGCTGGTTCGAAGCAAGCATTAGTAATCTGATTAACAGATAGTTGTTCGTGATAAGCTTTTTCAGACGAAATAACGGGAGCGTATGTAACTAAAGGGAAATGGATACGAGGATATGGTACCAAGTTAGTTTGAAATTCAGTTAAGTCCACGTTAAGGGCGCCATCAAATCTTAAAGAAGCTGTAATTGAAGAAACAATTTGACCGATTAAACGATTTAGGTTAGTGTAAGTTGGTCGTTCTATATCCAAGTTCCGTCGACAAATATCGTAAATTGCTTCGTTGTCCACCATAAAAGCAGCATCTGAGTGTTCTAAAGTAGTGTGTGTGGTTAAAACTGAGTTGTACGGTTCCACAACTGCTGTTGCAATCTGAGGAGCTGGATAAATAGCAAATTCCAATTTTGATTTTTTTCCATAATCTACAGATAGTCGCTCCATTAAAAGAGAAGTAAATCCTGATCCAGTTCCTCCTCCGAATGAGTGAAAAATCAAAAAGCCTTGTAATCCTGAACACTGATCGGATAGCTTACGAATACGATCTAGCACTAAATCAACCATTTCTTTACCAACCGTATAATGCCCACGAGCATAGTTATTGGCTGCATCTTCTTTGCCAGTTATTAACTGTTCTGGATGGAAAAGCTGTCGATAGGTTCCTGATCGTACTTCATCTACCACAGTTGGTTCTAAATCAACAAAAACTGCTCGAGGGACGTGCTTTCCAGCACCGGTTTCACTAAAGAAAGTATTGAAGCTGTCGTCTCCTCCCCCAACCGTTTTGTCACATGGCATTTGACCATCTGGTTGAATTCCATGTTCTAAACAGTACAACTCCCAACAAGCATTACCAATTTGGACGCCGGCTTGTCCAAGATGACAAGAAATACATTCACGCTAGAAAAGAATGTAGCTTACAAAAATGAATATTATTCAAATTTTGACAGAAAAAAAATGTCAATATTTTTAATTTAGTAAGAACTTTCTCAGATATAATGAAAACTGTACAGGAATACAGTGAGTCTCTATGCACAAACTGTCCGTTACAACTGAACACCAAATATATGAGGTTAATTATAGATAAAGTTGGGTTCCTTACCATATTTCGAAAATTTTGCTTCTTTTATTAGAAATACAACTAAATCTGGAAAAGGAGGTGTACCCGGGCTTGAAGTGCAACAAAAAAAATTTTGTTCAAAAAATCGCACAAAAGGGAATTATTCTACACCCATCCCAACCCAAACTAGAAAGAATTTAAAATGTCATGTCATGCCAACGACATTATTTCAATTAGATATCTTGATTTTGTAACAATTTTCATTTTGGAATGTTCATCACTTTGATTTTTTTGCTAGTAACTTAGATTTGTAGAAAAAGGAGAAAAATTTTTTGTGAATCTATTTTTTAGATATAATTTTTTTGATTCAGTACTTTTAGACTATATTAATTAACTTAAATATTTTGATTGTTAATCTCTTTTAGAACTTCTGAGGATGACTTTTATTAGTCGAAACATGTAAAGCTACATAATTGAAATAAAATAACCAATATAAGTACGAAAAAAATATCTTTATTTTCATTAATAATTATAATTAATTATTGATAATATTAATTTTGGTTTAAATTTTCCGCCATTTTTGAAGGGGTGTAGCTAGTTTTTTAAGACGTAGTTCTTAGACAAGAGGCTAAGATCATACCCAGATATTTGATGTTTTTCAAAGGTCTTAATTTACCATGTTCTGTTTGGATGTAGCGAGAGTCCTCTTTAATGTTGTGGTAAGGTAGTAGGAGCTGGAATTTGGAAAGGTTGGGTTATAGTCTCCATTTAAACAGCCAGGCAAGTGTCTGGTTGTAGAATGTCTGCATTTCTTTTGTTGTTTTAATTAGAGTTTTTGCGTGGGTGACCAATGTCGTGTCGTTCGCGTATTGTAGGGTATATCGATTTGGGTCGAATAGGGAATGGTTTGGAGAAAAGATGTCGAAACAGTAAATATTGTATTATAGAGTCGGTAATAGAGGAGAGCCTTGAGGAACGCTTTGTAAAGGACAAAACGGGTTAGAATATGTATTATTGATTTTTACACATAATTGTCGTTCATTTAGAAAGTCAGTTGTGATTCTGATCAGATATGGGTTTACATTTAGAAGATTCATTTTGTAAATTATTCCCTTATGCCACACGCTGTCAAAAGCTTTGTTGAAGTCCAAAAAGACCACTGCTGTGCGTCTCGATGTTGTTAATATGATTGAAACAGGAAGGGAGGTAGAGTTTTGCGGTTTGAATCTAAGTTGGTATGTAGGGATTGTTGAATCAACGATGTTTAGGATTCTTGCGTTGATTATACTTTCGTATATCTTTATGATTACGAGAAGAAGGGTAATAGGGCGGTAGTTTTTGGGATTTGAGTGGTAGGTATTAGGCTTGTTTATTGTAATGATGGTTCCAGATTTCCAATCGGAAGGGAATATTTGTACCTGTAGGTAGTAGTTAAAGAGTCTACGTATATAGTTGTGAACGTCTGGATCTAGTTTTCTTAAAGTAAGTTTTGTTATCAGGCCATGTATATGTATTTGTCTCCGCTATTATCTGGGATACACTTATTGTGTATTGGTACTGTTAGATACCTTGCGTACCAGTTATCAATAAAATTCTGGTGGTCTTTGTCGAATCGTGGGTTTTCTCTCGATGTGAATGTTCTAGAAAATGTTTTGCCATAACGTTGCATTTCTGTACGTCAGATACCCATTCGATATTGTTGTACATTAGTGTTGGGATCGACCAGGATGTCATATTTGGTGAACCCTGTTCCAGTATGAGCGCCCTTTGTCCTCCTTGATTTCTGAACAAACTTGTAACCATTGGTTAGTTTGGTATACTTTTACTTCTTTATATATTTGCTTATTGAGTCGGTGCTGTCTTTAAATTTATGTCCTTCGTCTTCTGATATTGTCTGCATGTTGTCCTCTTAGCATGTATTAGATTCAATATATTTTTGGAAATTTGTACACAAAATGGCTATATGTTACTGTTGGAAAGTGTTTCATGATGGATTGCGTGAACTGTTGCTGAAACTTATTAATGGATTCACCGTTAATTGGTGTCGTTGTGTTGTTTGTGATAAACATCATCAAGTCATTATTCACTCTTTCAATTTTTTCTTATTTAGGTCGTATTTAGTTTTATTTTTAGGTTGGTCTGGAATTATGTTTGTTTGGAATTTGAGGGATATGCTGAAACGATCTGAGCATAGGTCTCCCGTCACGTCAACTTCTGTTATGTTTATATGAGTTTTGCAGTACACAATAATATTTCGGACGTCGTGTCGTTGTTAGCCGGCATGATGAAGGTAGGTTTTGTATGGTGTTTTATGAATTGAGAATTAGATAGAAGAAAATGTAAACGCTTGCTTTTCTTGGGGGTTAGATTGAAGTCACCAATTATTATTGAATATTTTAATTGAGCTGCTTTGGTCAGTATGATTTCTTCTATGGCGGAATGGAGATAAATAGGCATATTTGATTATCGTAGATTTTAAGAATAGAAATTAAAATATCGTATAAAGAACGTTTTAAAGCAAATTTGGTAAAGCTTTAATGCACCATAAATAATTTCTTAGTTTCCATAAATATCGTTGTTATGATTTTGTAAATACAACTCTGCTGTCTGATGTTATAGATATGAAATATAAATTTTAAAAATGGTATTTTAAGAACAAATGGAGTCGTGAAATAAAAGACATTTTAAAGCAATTTTAATGAAGATTTAATACACAATAAATAATTTCTAATTTTCCATAAACATCGTCGTTATAATTTATCGAATCAATTCCGCGCGTTTGATTGTTATAGATATAAAATATAAATTTTTAAAAATCTTATCTCAAGAACGCATTGAGATATCGTCATGAAATAAAAAGCAATTAAAAACAAATTTACTTAGTATTTAATATTTTGAAGACGGTTTTTTTCAAATCTTCCAATTTCAGATTTAAGAATTTTTGAATTCACCTTGCATAACCATAAACATTAATAAATAAAATTCATCTACAGGAGATTACTTACATTGATACAAATATTCTTATATAAAACTTAAAATATCTTGTTACATTATTTGAACCATTATACTAATATTTAAAAAACTTACGTCATTTTGTTACAAAAGTGTCCTATAAAATGAGTCATTTGGTATTTCTTTTTATATTTGTATTATTGAACCACACAGAAAATTTTGTTGAACTCTGATTGATGAGGATTAAAATTGTATTAAGATTTGATGTGTCATGCGAGTTGTTGTCAAAACTAATTTGAGGTTATATCTTTATTTATTTGGGGATTTTTCATTTTTCTTGTTTGGTAATTTAGTAAAAGTCGTTGTCGTTTCGTTTATAAATGTTTATAAATTTGAAAAGACAACATAAAAAATCAAACAAAATCAAAAAATCTCTGAACTAATTATTAAAACCACTCGTTTAAATTGGGGGGTATTATTAGGGTAGGTTGTAATACAGATTCTATAGATTATTAAGGTAGGGGTTGTTAAAGGAATAAAGGGATATTAAAGGATAGGTTGAAGAAGGGATAGGGGTGATGTCCATGGGATCCAGAGTAGTGCGATTTCAGAGCGACATCTTATTCTGAAATCCTCGTCTCTCTGGGGGGTATTTATTGGGTAGAGGTAAATTATAGATTCTGTACTAACTTTTAGTGATTGTTATGGGATCAGGATAGGGTGGGAAGGATGGGGGGAGGGGAGGTGATGTCCATGGGACCCAGCTTAGTGCGACTTCAAAATGACATCGTGTTTTGAAGTCCTCGTCTATCTGGGGGTTTACGGGGTGGGATGTAGGGCTGTTTTAGAAAAGAGTAGAGTGGTTTGTTTGTTGTCTGAATTTGGTCATTAAGACATGTTAAGTCAGGGTTATTATTGATAAATTTTTTGATTTCATATCCTTCGAGGATTTCCATGAGAGATCCTTTGTTAATGTGATGTAGTATTATTATTGTATTTTTATCTTCATCGAATTCGTGGTTAAGATTAAAGGTTATGTGTTTGCCAAAATTTGAATTATGTTTTATTTTGTGTTCCTTAATTCGTAGTTTAAGGGCTCTGCCTGTCTCTCCGATGTAGGTTGCATGCCAGGTATCACATTGAAGTTCGTACACTCCATTATCATTAAATTTGTTTATTTTGTCTTTGTTGTTTATGAGCAGATTGCCTATGGTTTTACTTGGTTTATCTGTAATTATAATGTCATACTGTTTCATGGTTTGTTTTATTTTGTTGTTTATGTTTCCTTGGTGTGTAATGGATCTGTAGTTCTTGATTTTTTGTGTCTGTTGATTTTGTAGTTGTGTAGTGGTATTTAAGTTCTGTCTAGTTTGATATTTATGGATCATTCTGTCTATTACTTCTTCTGGAAAAGAATTATTTCTCTTTGTTAAAATTTTCTGTATTCAAATTTGAATTATAGGCTCTATGTATGTATGATCTGAATACTGCCATTTTATGGGTTATGTTATGAAAAGAATCGTATGGGATAGTAGCGTCTCTCTAAGTCGGTTTTCTGTATATTTCGAATTGTATGTCATGTTTGGTTTTGTCTATTGTGATATCAAGAAAATTTAATTTATTGTTGTTTTCAAGTTCTATTGTAAATTGGATTTCTGTGTGTAGTGTGTTAATGTATTGGTGTAAACCGTCAACAGTTTCTTTCTTTTCGGTGTTAATAATGACCAAAATGTCATCGACATAGCGTTGCCATATTAATATATTTCTGAGATAGGGGTTTTTTTCACTCATTATGAGATTGGTTTCCAACTCATTCATAAAGATGTCAGCCAATAATCCGCTTAAAGGAGAGCCCATGGGGAGTCCCTCTTGATATGTATATGTTTCATTTTGAAATTTACAGAAGTTTTGTTGTAAGCAGATTTGGAATAGGTTAAGTATGTTTTTGCTATCATTCTTGTTTTCTAGTTGTGAATTTAAAATGTTTTCGACAATTTTTAACGTTTGTTTGGTAAGAATGTTGGTGTATAAGTTTACTACGTCAAAGGACAATATGGTGTTGTTAATTGGTAAGTTGATGTCTGTAAGTTTTTGTATCATCTGCTTTCTATCATTAATTATTGTATATTTGGGTTTAAAGTCTATGTTATTTTTAAAAAACTGTACTAAAAATTTTGAGATTTTGTATGTACTGGCGTCAGTAGAGGCTATTATGGGTCTTATTGGATGGTTTATTTTGTGTAACTTAATGACATCATCAAACAATATAAACATTAATGTTAAGCTAAATTTCTGGTAAGTCAACTCACTTCAACGATTTACTCTCGCACTCCTTCTTCTGCCAGATAAATTTACCAAGCTGTATCTAGTCTTTAGAGAATTGAATATACATGAAAGTAATTCTATTAAAGTAGTTCTATCTTTTTTTTATCGTTTGAATATTGATAAGTTGCATAATCAAAATCAATTTATTTGTTTGTTTATGTAAATTTACTTCTCACATATCAAAGTTTGTTGTCTTCGAGATAATTACTGTTAAAGGGTGGGGTGCCCTGTAGGTTTGAGCAAAAACTGTAAAAATTAACTATCGGTGAAAAATATATTGATTTGATAATCAATAATGATGATTTGGATGATTTGATTAAACAATGATTAGGACTAATTTTACTTCATACAATATTTTAAATATAATAATCGACTGAAATATACGCACAACGTTTAGCTATGTGCGATTTTAAGTGCAATATATGTGTAAAAACGATGACAGTACTTATTATATTAATTCGACACAATAATTGTATCGACCTAATCGTAGGTCATCATCAGGTATGACTGTAAGCAATGATATAAAGAAGTATTACTTTATATAAAAAACTAAGAAATACAGAAAAATACAAATCAGGCGAATAGTTACCGTTTAACTAAAGTTAAAAAAAGTTTTTTAACTTACATAGAATCGTTGATTATACTATGATGATACTTTTCACACTCCAACATAATTTTAAAACCAAGACCTAATTTGGCATATTGTTTCAACCATTCCATTCCACACTCTATCTTCTCCAGTTTGATTTAGAATGTTGGAGGTCTTCACAAAAGTTGTGTAAAAACAAAATAAAAGTTTATAATTGCATAGTAAAGAGTAGCGTCCTCCGGCACTTGCTTCTTCTTTTCTTGGGCTAGCGAAACATGTATCCTTGATTTCTGTAGTTTTAGGATTAAAGGACTAGCACCTTTTGCTCGGTCAACTCTACTAACTTCAGGCATTTCACAAAAAAATAATTCAAAATCTCTCTCTTAGGCTCTCTTAAAGCTCTCTCTTAAGCTGAGGGTACACGTAGCAGTCGATTGCTATGGCGGTAAGTACAGAGGGGCGTAGTTTGACTGTTAGCGTCATTTACGTGTAACATGTCATTGCCATAGTAATGAACTGCTACCAAAGCTACTGTCATTGCTACAAAACCTACTACTTTTGGTATAGCAGTAGCGTTATACGTAAATTTGACGGTTTACACGCAAATTTGACGCTAAAAGTCAAACCACGCCTCTCAATAGTTATCCCATAGCAGTCGATACGTGTAACGTCGGCTTTAAAGTTTTACTGAGATTAACTTAAAACTTTCGGAAAATATTATAGTATAAGATATTGTAGTATTAGATAAGAAATAAAACAAAAAAATGATTTGTTTGAAAATTTCAAACTCGTGTAAAATAAGTTTTGATATTCTTGACTAAGTTCTTATTTTTTTTATTTGGAATTTTGTCTCGAAAACTTGAAAATATTGAACTACTTAAAAAATGAAACTATATAAAAACACACAACAAATGATAGAAAGGATAAATCATTTTTCAACTTTTATTATAAAAAATTCATAATTTAAGCATAAACGATATCATTTGCTTATAATTAACAATAAAACTATTAACAAATAACTACAAGATCAAGGATCAAATAGAATGAAAATTAAACTTTAAAACTATTTTAATATTCATCACCTCCTTCTTCTTCACCATCGGCGGAATCCACACCAATCTCTTCAAAATCTTTTTCTAAAGCCGCCATATCTTCGCGGGCTTCAGAAAATTCACCTTCTTCCATGCCTTCACCCACGTACCAATGAACAAAAGCTCGTTTAGCATACATCAAGTCGAATTTATGATCTAAACGAGCCCAAGCTTCAGCGATAGCTGTGGTATTAGACAACATGCACACCGCACGTTGAACTTTAGCTAAATCACCACCTGGAACAACCGTTGGTGGTTGGTAATTGATACCAACCTTAAATCCAGTTGGACACCAATCGACAAACTGAATTGTTCTTTTAGTTTTAATAGATGCAATGGCGGCATTGACATCTTTAGGAACCACATCACCACGGAACAACATACAACATGCCATATATTTTCCGTGTCTTGGGTCGCATTTAACCATTTGATTTGCTGGTTCAAAACAAGCATTAGTAATTTCGGCGACTGACAGTTGTTCGTGATAGGCTTTTTCGGCTGAAACAACTGGAGCGTATGTTGCTAAAGGAAAATGGATGCGCGGATAGGGCACCAAATTTGTTTGAAATTCTGTAATATCTACGTTAAGAGCGCCATCGAATCTTAAAGATGCTGTAATCGAAGAAACGATTTGAGCGATCAATCTGTTTAGATTGGTGTAGGTTGGTCGTTCTATATCCAAATTACGCCGACAAATATCATAAATAGCTTCATTATCTACCATAAATGCGCAGTCCGAGTGTTCTAATGTAGTATGGGTAGTTAAAATTGAATTATAAGGTTCCACAACAGCAGTTGCTATTTGGGGAGCCGGATAAATAGCAAATTCCAATTTTGATTTTTTTCCATAATCAACGGATAGTCGCTCCATTAAAAGAGAAGTAAATCCGGACCCCGTTCCTCCACCGAATGAGTGGAAAATTAAAAAGCCCTGTAATCCGGTACATTGATCAGCTAATTTACGAATGCGATCCAACACCAAATCCACAATTTCTTTTCCAATTGTGTAATGTCCACGAGCATAATTATTAGCCGCATCTTCTTTACCGGTTAATAATTGTTCTGGATGGAAAAGCTGTCGATAGGTTCCCGTTCGTATTTCATCGACCACAGTTGGTTCGAGATCAATGAAAACTGCTCGTGGAACATGTTTTCCAGCACCGGTTTCATTGAAGAAAGTGTTGAAGCTATCGTCTCCTCCGCCAATAGTTTTGTCAGATGGCATTTGACCATCGGGTTGAATGCCATGTTCTAAACAGTACAATTCCCAGCAGGCGTTACCCATTTGTACGCCAGCTTGTCCAATATGAATTGAGATACATTCACGCTAAACATAAAATAAATGTAAAATAACACAAAGTAAAATTAAGATTTTCTTACCATCTTTTATAGATTTCTGGTTCCGTTTCTAGAAGATGCAAAAGAATACACAATGTAACTTATTGAATAAGTATGTGGTATATTGGTTGTTTGAATGCAGAAAGTAAATATGACCGGAATGACACGGGCAATATTTAGATTATAGATTCTGAATGTGTCATAACAACGATAGCTCTTTTGTTCGATTTTTCCACATTTCAATCTACAATAACAATTTACATACTAGATTTACATATTTTATTTACTTCGACAGTAGAATCTAACAGGACTGCTGCATCCATTGTTGTGACAACGCACACTACGTCACACCATTTGCCACGCCCAGTTAGCTGTTATTGTGTTCTATGTGTTTGCTGTGTATTTTTAGAGGTTATATCGTATATCGTAGATATATAACATTCATATACATTCATTGTATTCATATATCGTATTGAAGTTTTAATAATAATAATCGTATTAATGTCTATCATATAACCTCTAAACCACACAGCAAACGTATAGAACTCAATGACAGTTAACTGGGCGTGGCAAATAGTGTGACGTTGAGTGCGGGTAACCAACCCGTAGTGGGTTACAAAATAACAATGGATGTAGCAATCTTGTTAGATTCTACTTACTTCATAAAAACATAACAATAACAAAGAATTATAAGTGACACTAGAAACTTTCAGGTTTTGCCGTGCGTCTTTTAAGAAAAGGTTTAACGTTTCGGATGCCATGTTGCAACCTTCTTCAGAAACTGGTTCGAAGTTCACATCGATTTCTTTTTTTCGAGATTTTGAATAATAATTTTTATGACGTCAAAAACCACTAGTACTTATTGGGGTTTGTAGCTACTTTTTGGATAAATGACATTAGGATTGGAAGGTGGTTGGAATCCATCTCTGCTATTACTAATTGATGAAAGAGGAAATTTTTGTTTTACTGTTTAAGTCTCCTATCAGCATAATTAAATAATTTTTTAATGTCGCTTTTAATGAGATAAATGTTAGGTTAACAGTATCTGCATATAATAGTAATTTCATTGTTGATGTCTAACAAAAAATATAAGTGAACTGCCACTATTTTCAGACTAGTAGTTTCGAAATGGGTTTCTGATATACAAAGCAAAGACAACTTGCTTTTTAATACCACTGGCATTAAAGTTAAGGATATTAATGTTATATATGATAAATTAAAGGACTTTTTAGGGACATGGAGAATTGATGGGAGTATCACATTGAGAAAGTATGCTTTGATTTTTGTTATTAAAGGGCTGACAATTTTTACACATTTTTTGTTACAATTGGAGGAGTTTCAATGCAGGATTTGTTTGTGTTTGCAGGTTGTTCTTGCTTTGAGCAGGTTGATTAAATGAGATGGTGAGGGTTTCCGTTAATTGTAGGCGTTTCTTCTTACTTGTCTTGGAGTTTTCTATAAAATATAGTAATAATAATAATAAATAAATTTATTGCCATAATAAGAAACAAAAAATACAAATTAAAGAAAATGTATACTTTTAACTTAATGCATAAATACGGGCAAAAGGGTCGATTTATCGCGTAAGCGATATCTTCCAAACAACCCAATCAATCAGCCCTATACTAAGTTATATAAGAAAAACTGTGCTAGACATATGGTTACTAAAACGGTGCATAACGATAGTTGCTGGAATAAAAGAAGAAGAGAAGAAAAGGAAGAAGAGGGAGAAAAAAAAGTTCTCAGGAAGATACTTGGAGAGCAAATAAATGACGTTTTAGATGGTTTTTAAATGTCACAAGGTGAGGAATATTACGGATCTCGGTAGGCAGACTATTCCGAAGGGTTATCGCCTGCACAGCAAACGATTTATGGGAAATCTCGGCACTATGGGTCGGGAACATAAGCACAGAATCTAACTGAGATCTAGTGGGTAAACCATGCGACGACAAGCGTTGAAATATACAATACAGATACCTTGGTGTTTGATTGTGAAGAACAGTATATAACATAGTTAATGTACGAAACGATCTACGGTTCTGACAGCTTAATATCTGTAAATAATTACGGTATGGAGTTATGTGTTGAGATCTCTCGAGATCAAAGATATACCGTATGCAGTTGTTTTGAAGTCTTTGCAGTTTGTTTCGTAGTGTTACCAAAAGATCAGGATATACCGTGTCAGCATAATCTATATGGGGGAAAATCAGGGAAAAACAAAGATTACGACGGATCATGGGAGGAAGGAAGCAACGGAGACTTTTCAGTGAGTGGAAACAATGATAGACCTTTCTGTAGACGGATTGAATTTGAGGTTTCCAGGACATTGTAGAATCCATAACCACCCCAAGGTTTCTAACCGTGTCTGACTGCTGAATAATGTCTCCGTCAAGCATTAAGTGAACGGATGAAAGATCATTCAGCTTTGCCAGTAAAGGTCGACTACCAAACACAATTGCTTGACTTTTAGCAGTATTTAATTTAAGGCCATAACGTTTGGACCAATCCAAAATATTGGAAAGATCATGATTAAGACGTGCAATTGCTTCCGGAAAATCATCAATAGTTGTCGTAGTGTAAATTTGGAGGTCATCGGCATACACATGATAATTACAAGAAATGCAGTGGGAGACGGCATTAATAAAAATCGAAAAGAGCAACGGACCCAACACACTACCCAGGGGTACACCACATATAATATCACAAGCAGACGAGAGAGCAGAATCAGCACGCACACACAAGGAACGATAGGAAAAGTAAGATTGAAACCAAGATAAACATGAAGAGGTAAGAAATGTGTGAAAGTTTGTATCCTTAGTACTTAACCTCGTTGACGTCGTGCCTGAGGAAGGCAATTTTGCCGAAACAGCTGTAGCACTGAAAAGTTAGTCTAATAAACTATTTAACACCGTTGACTCATACCTTTTTGATTTCACACATCTCGATGCAAATTGAATCCCAACTTTCCAACTTATGAAGAAGTAAATCCAAGGGCAGCTAGTGATGCTAACAAAAGATCGTGATCAACCGAATCGAACGCCTTGCTGACATCAAGTAGTACAAGGATGGTAACACAACAAGCATACCTAATGTTATCTGTAATCTTAATAAGCGCTGTTGTCGTGCTATAATCCTTACGAAAACCCGATTGAAACTCGTTGTGCAACTTAAATTCTTGTAAATACTCTTGAACTTGTAGATAAACAAGGCGCTCGAGAGCTTTGGATAGAACAGATAAAATGGAGATTGGGCAAAAATCATTTAAACTTGAGGGACTCTTGGATATAGGTATAGGGACAACATGAGCAACCTTCCAGATTGAAGGGAATGAGGATCGTTCAAAGAAGAAGTTAAAAATGTGGGTAATAGGAGTAAGAACAATATCCAATATAGGAAGAAGAAGTTTGAACAAACTCCATCAGCTCCCACACTCGTAAAATATCTGCATGGACTTTACGTCCTTTGTAGTTGGTCGGATGTGCTTCTCCATTATTTGCATATTTACGTAATCGCTTTTCTTCTTTTTCTATTGGGCGTGATTGTTTTCATAGGTGTTTTGTGTGTCTGTAACGTTGACTATTAACACACTGTAGAATGTTCTGCTATTTTTTCCTTGGTTCAATGGTGACGATTGCATGTCAAATTTCTTTAATTTTATTACTACTTATTAATTTCTTCACTTTTATACTATATCATATATCTTCATTACGAAAGTCTGGTAAGATAAAGTAAATAAAAATCTTAAATACGATGAAAATGTTTGTTTTTATTTATATCTATATCGGTGCTACAAATTGTTTCGGAAACCAACATAAACACTTGACGTCGTGCCTGAAGAAGGAAACTGTTGGTTTCCGAAACAATTTGTAGCACCGATATATAAATAAAAACAAACATTTTTATCGTATTTAAGATTTTTATTCACTTTATGAAACTTACGATGAACCTGGATTCTACCATTGCTAAATCTAGTAAGATAAGTTATTGCGCGAATATCCGTACCCTCAACTTTGCTCACAAGTACTATGGAACTTTCATTTATAAAATTGTTATTGAGAAGTTTGCTCGTCTCTAAGATTTATCCAAATTTTATAAGACGGATATTGGTCTGTAGTAACTCGATTCGTCTCTATTTAATTTGATGAAAACAGAACTCGTACTAAACCCATAAAGCCGTGCAAACTTTTTGACTTTAAATTTGTTAGGGTGTTTACTATCAGTTTCAGATGTTGATCTCATAGACATAGTGGCAGTACAACTGTTCTGATTACATTTCTTCTGATTCACTTTCTGACTATTTAAATTCCAGTAAAGTATGAAGTTCCCTTGCTACTTAGTTATTATCAGTAAATTTGATAAGGTTGTTAACAAGTTATAATTCATGTCTTACTTGCCGTCTCTATACCAGAGACCTCATGAAACTTCGGCTGTACTGCATTGAGTAACGATCTGTTATGTCAGTATAAAAAATCATTATAAAAGGGTTTATATACATATATTTAAGTAGTTATTAGGAATCAATTTCTCAATACTAATATATCATCTATCAGAATTTGTAAGTCATACTTATGTTTATTTTCGTAATACATAAACAACTCATCAGTTTCCTGATTTTAAAGCTCGTTACTACCATCTTCTAGTTAAGCTATCTAAGGGATTCTTACCACGGTTACGGCTTGACTAGTGGGTTTATTAAAAAATTAAATTATGAAAACGCATAATAAATAAAGGATAAATTAAATTTCAGCGTTTATTATAACAAATTTATAATTTAAACATAAACGATATCATTTGCTTATTATTAACAATGAAACTATTAATAAATAACTACAAGATCAAGGATCAAATAGAATGGAAATTAAACTCTAACATTATTTTAATATTCATCACCTCCTTCTTCTTCACCATCGGCGGAATCCACACCAATCTCTTCGAAATCTTTTTCTAAAGCCGCCATATCTTCGCGGGCTTCAGAAAATTCACCTTCTTCCATGCCTTCACCCACGTACCAATGAACAAAAGCTCGTTTAGCATACATCAAGTCGAATTTATGATCTAAACGAGCCCAAGCTTCAGCGATAGCTGTGGTATTAGACAACATGCACACCGCACGTTGAACTTTAGCTAAATCACCACCTGGAACAACCGTTGGTGGTTGGTAATTGATACCAACCTTA